TACCTGGATCTTGGGGATTTACTTTTAAATCTCCTTGATGCAAACCATTTCGGTTGTCAGAGCGGGGTATTTAAAACTAACATCCTGTTGATTTCTTTTCACAACCTTTTCCCAGTCATCTAGCCTAGCGTCCTCCGATATTTTCTCTCTCGTTTGGTAATGATTTTATTAGCACAGGACAGATATGGACAAACCATTCTTCCAAACCACGAAGCAAAACGGGACTCACGAGAGCATTATATATCTCTCTAATCAATATCAACAGCTGGACGTATTTTCGACGTCACAAATGAGGTGGGGGTGGCAGAGACAACTCAGCCCCTTAATAGTGTCGCTGATGTTAACTCATATTAGGTTAAATGATTACATAAGCAATGAGGCTCTCCGTCGAAGCAAACTTCGAATTGCTTGAGAAATGCGTTCAATTCTTCAGATAAACAGGTTGAGCAATGTGAGACGGCTGAGTCATATATTACGCATGTCAGTTAAGAATCGGGAGTTATATCTTCAGACCACTAAAACTTAATCTAAATTGTTTGGTTACAACTCTCGGCGGAATACCCCAACACAGAGGGGAGGTGCGTTCAAAACCCCACGGTGAGCGGATGGAGAACGGCGTGGGCGACCGGATGAGTCATCGCTCGACCGGATCGGACCAACGGGCGAGACGTGGCAGCCGAAATAGGATGAATGACCAAATTGAAGGCGTGATTATTCCAACACTCCCAGGAATATCTCAAAACGGCTGTAGAGTATGTTCAAAGCCTACAGTAGATAGACGGAGGACAGCACGAGTGGCCGGACAAGCCATCGCCCAACGAAATCGGATCAACGGACGAGGAATATTAGGCAGAAAACCCCCGGGTAGAAGGCGCCAATCACACACCTAAACCGGGTAGAAGTGCACACGACGCGTGAACGGAAACCTGAGGGTGTTGTGGACTGGAATGCTGACTCATAAACGCGAGCGCGCGCGTAGCATGTGAACTAGCGAGTTGGACAATAGAGATTGTGTTTTATTGGACACCTTTTCGCTACAATGTCACGTAATACACAGACTCTGACTACTGCTCTGAGTAAAGTGGACAGATGTCTCCTATTAGGCTGGAGTTTTCGTGATTACTCAAACTACTGACTACATACACTACCCGAGCTGTCCGAAGTCTATAGTACCACGCTAGGTTAAGCTACCCTAATGTACGTCGTACAACAGGGATGTACACACGTGGGCGCCAACAGGTTGTTAACGTTTTACAGAACGGTTGACTTCCAAAAAAATGATGGAAGTACAGTGTCAGTCCGTCAGTGATTCATAAATGAGATGTAGTATTGGAATATATGTGTTAACGTACGGGATGTTGAACAGTATTTTACAGTTCCGTCTCACTAAATATAGAATGGATAGCTTAAATTTACGGATTTCATCAATTTATGATCCTCAAAACTGAAACCAAACTGAGAAAGGCATTGCATACCAACCATAATATGGTAATATATTATCTACACTGTCTTTACACATGATCAACTGTTACCCACTGATTTGCCCACAATTTCATTGGTTGAATAGGAGTGAGTGTGAACTGACTTGTGTTGAACAATAAAAGTTGTCGACATGTTCTAGTCAGTGGCTTACCTTTATTCATAACAGCTCTATTACCAGGTATCCTATTTTTGTTCTATTTGGTGATTTTTCCCTCTGGATTAGTCACGTCACTGTTGTGCTGAACAGTAGCTCGAGCTACAGTATCTACTGGTCAGGTTTTTGGAAGCTGTGCATGAAAAACTGTCTTAATCAGTTTATCCACATAGTTCAAATTGTAAATTTGTATTTTCCGGTCTGCACCTCTCACTCCGCCAACGTAAGAGCCTGTCAACAATACAAAGATAATTCATCTGATATTGCGATTGGATTGCACTGAATACATTTTCAACGCTTGGATATCGTTTTGGCAAACTACTCCACATGAAACATACGGACCGGATGTTGGTAGGTTAATTTATCATGATAATCATCCGAATGAAAAAAATTGTTTGGTTCGTTAGTTCGAACCAGTAAACATAGTGTTGTTCCCAATCACAGTAACCTTTCAGTGTTGTATTTATTCATTTTGTAAGTACCCACAAGCAAATGAGTAACTCATAATTGACCACTACAGGCAATTCAAGTTATTCTGAGAATATGTTTAAATCCACCCGTTAAACTTTAAACTAGTCAGTAGCTCTAGCAAATCGTATTGAATACAAAAAATGAATCGGAGTTTAGGGGCTTCTGCCTCGGACCGGCGTATAAATTATTGATCCATTCATTGTCAAGTTAGATGTAACAAGAAGAATGCGCAAAAAAGATTACCCTGAACAGTAGTATTTTTTCAGCATGCTACTGTAAACTTATCAAGTTGTTCATCAACTTTTGTGTTTGTTATAAGAACCGCATGCCGACAACGTACACGAAACTCTTGTTTATAAATAATCTGTGGGGAGTTAAACTATATTACATTAATGCAATAAGTTTAAGGATTCCATCAGTATGATACCCTATAATCTGGGTAAAACTGGAAATCACTCACAACTGATCGTAGCTGTCGCATTCCCATAAACCTTTCAGTCGACCCACTTCGAAAAGAAAAGCACTAGACTCGAGCTTCGCCTTCAGTAGTGCCTATCCTTGCCATGGCCGGGACTAGAACTTCCGCCACGCTTTCATGAGGCAACCATGTTGACCATTGCGCCGTTGACTTCACATTAGGCACGACCGAATTATCATGTGTGAACCCACAACCACTTTCGCGTGTGAGTAATGATCAAGTTGCCCGATCGTCTCGATAGGAGACACAGTTACTCTCTGTTAACTCCAGTGTACTAGGATTTCTCTCCAAGCTAACATCACAGGAATCGTTAACTTGTAGAGCCGTATTTTGATCACTGATGACGCATGGTGTTATTTTCTAGTGTCTTACACCAAAAATTTACTGAGGTTGAGAAACATTCTGACAATTTTTCCCGTATGTATAGATCTTCTATTTCTGTGTTACGCGTAATTCATAACATACGTATCATCTCGATTAATGCTGAGTAATAAGGGAGTTTGTTGAGCACAGATTGAGGATCACTAACACATGATTGCAACCTTTCACTCGGGTGAACTTTTTCGATCAAGTCCCTGGGGAAAATAACATTGGAATCTAGTTTTGTCAGAACCCATCAATATTGCATGGCACTGCTTCGATCAGACATTTAACTTTGGTTCAGGTGCCCCTGGCAATCACTTTGTGATTTACCTCATGTTAGATAACCAGGTTATCACATCCAAACGTTCGACTGTAATACCCTGTAAGTACTACTCGAGGCGCATTGATTTTAGTAACATAAGAATTAGTTTGTGCCACCGTCAACCTCTGTCCTGATGACAGTGGTTTTATTTAAGTTCATTGAATACCATCTAACTACGTTACTCATGTAATTCTGAAGGGTACTCTCGATAAATGGAACCCGACCTCCTAAAAACTGAGACCATCCACTGAGTTATCTGATCAGTTTGCATGCTCTGAGTGTCATTTGGACAAGTCACTGGAAGGTCAGGGCACCTGGCGTGATTTTGGAGACGTGACACAATGTCCAACTGCTGGTAGTTTGTTGCATGGTTTTCAGGAAAACGGTGGTTGTATAATACTTCTATGTCATAAGCGAATTATTGTTATTGCACTTCTATATCCGTTTGAACTTTCAAAATGAAATTAAATCTATCTGCTGCGGTCAGCTCACATCTGAAGCTCTAAAATCCTGAAATCTCCTTGAGGTCAGAGTTGCTACTCCATACCCTTTCAACTGACCTCCCGAATGAAGGTTTCCCACAGACTACTGACATCGATGTTACTGACCCACCATAGACCACGTAGAATCAATTTATACTGCGGATTGATCTCTCAGTTTTTCAACTAGTTTTGAATCGTATACAACCAGATAACCTAAATCCATTCTTCTAAACATCCTTACTCTTGTTTTAACTCTCAAGATCAGTTAAACCTTTCATCGAAATTTGCCTGCAGAAGGGTTGAAAGCTCTCTGACTTACCTTTTCCAATCTGCTTTAGCTCGCGTGTTCGACGTCCGCTTTTTGTTTTATTTGTGAATCAGTAAACAGGTGTTGTTTCAGAATTGTTTACTTTCAACATGTAGACGCTTACTCCGTACAATAATAAGAATGAAATTACGGGAACAGGATTGTTGAACCGAATAGACCAGGGTTGTGAAACTATTTGTAGTCTTTTACTGTTAGCTCTCATATAAGTGAATTGGCGCTGTAAGTAACAATTAATGCACGATTCTTAAAACATTGACCAACTTTCTTAGGTCACCTACTACTAACAACTGAATGCAATATGGTATTAACTCTAACTACGAAGACAGTACTAGACCATAGGAAAATGAAAAAGTTGCATCTTATTTCGCTTACGTTAGAGAGAACAAAAAAAATAATGTTCATGCTGCCCAAGTCTCACTACGACTTGTCTAATGATTATACGTACACAGTATAATAATACTTAATATTAATAACGCTTGTGCAAATAATCTTTCAGAAATATGCATAATATATTCAGTTGATTCTTCTAGGTTATGTGTAAAAAGAAAGTGGGATAGAACGTACCTCCAACAGGATGATACTTAACGAATTCCAGTTAATTTTTCTCCAGTCATTGTCAAAAACGATCATATCGTGTATCCACCATCCAACCAGTGTTAGTCCTATTAAAGGGACAGCTACGCTGTCAGATAAAACATATGAACATAGAATAATGTTGACCGTTGAAAATTTTTGTATGACAAAATCAGTTGGCTTGTATTTTACAGACTATTTTTTTCCACACTACCTCTAATAAAAGCACGTTACATTAGAAGACGAACAGTGTTTGACGACTGATGGTAAACCTGTAGAACTACTCAAGATGACTAATTATTTTGGCAGATTTATGATTTTAGATGAGACCCAGTTGTGAAAAGTCAGAGCTTCGGCTGGATTTGAACCAGCAACAGAAACACCATACCTCAATGCTGCCAGCGCTCTACCGGCCGAGCGACAAAGCCACGCCAGGAACTGGGAAATTTCACATTTGGACTCGGTTACCCACCCGTCCCACTGCCTCATATGGAATCCACAAAATCACCCAGGAGATCGACCGCCCCGGCAGGATTTCTCGAACAGTGTGCTTGTATGTAACCGTATGTTCTGAACAACTTGAGCCCGATATCACATATACTGGAAGCTCGCAGGATGTTTTTCGGCCACTTCGCGTAAATGAACATTCTTTGATACTATGTTTAGTCACCTTTATAGTTCTAATTGTAACACAGATCCGTTACCAAATTATCACTGAAACTGGTGCGATCATATGATCATTCAAGTAGTAACCTAGTCTTTTGAGTAAAAATGTATCCCATGTTAAGGTTTCCGCGCTCGTGTATTGATTAAAATGTTTGAAGATTCTATTGAAACCTTATTTTTGAACTACACTCATCAGGTAAAGTTCGTTCACATCGAGGAATGTGACAAAGCTACACAACACTAACTCGTTGAATCCATGAAACAAGACTAACGAACCTAATGGTTTACAAAAACTTAACCTAAAAAATGAAGTCAATCCTCAACTAGATATGCTAAGTATTCAAGCCATTTTTATGAAATCAGAAGTTTAAAAAGACATTAGAGATTAGGTTTTAATTGGGTATTCGAATTTTTAAAAATTTGCACAATTGTTTATTTTGAGAAACATTTGATAACGTATGTGATTTCCGAGTACAAGCAACATGAAAAAAAACACGTATCTTTTGGATACACATTTATCCCACCTATAGTGATTTTTTGTTCATCTGACATTTTTGCTCCCTTTTTTCTCACAACATGTAAGTGATTTGGATGGCTTACCCATTTATGGCTTTTCTCTTAACGTTTTTCTTTCTTCTATATTTAGCTATAGGTTCCTAGTCTTCCTTAAATGTTGTCTGTAGTCTAGTGAATTATACTATATCCTAAGGTCGTACAGTCGGTAAACGTTAGTGTCAGTCACTGATGTAGTTCTGTCGACAGGTATGTGACAGTGATCGATCGCAAATCCAAGGTCACGTTAACCTACTCGGCCACTTTCGTTATGCACTTGCAAGATAGGAAATAAATGCGATCAACTTCTAGAGCACTGAAACGCTTCTTTCACTCGAATGTTTCTGATATTTGGGAAGAATTAAACTAGCATTTCAAGTGACTGACACTTATACAGATTGAAAACAGACAGCATAAACGAAGCATAGACCAGGTATGAAAACAACATAGGACAGATCAACAAACGTCCGGAAGTCTGTATGAATTTGGTTTATGAAACAAAGGGGAGAAATATCAACAATCAGTCAAACAACGTCAATGGCCCATCAACACGGCAAAAAATAAAATGTCGTGAAATGTTAATATTTCGTTTATTCCCTTCGGTCGCACACATAACCACACTGGTTAATTGTAAAAGTGCATGACAGCGGAATGACAATTAAACATGACGTATATTCAGAAAAGCGGGGGCAATGCCACGATAATGATGCCGAATACGTCAGCAACTTCTATCCGCAGAGAAGTCATCACTACTATCTGATCAGCATAGTTTCCCTAAATGTCCACAGCTTTGGGTTTCGATGACGAATGGACCGACTAGTCACGATCAAAAACGTTGAACGTGAGTGGAGAGCATCGTTTGCAATTCAGTAGTTGGATGTGTACGGTTTAAAGCCGTCGTGACTATTTGCCTACATAGGTTGTTATGTGTTCATCTTTGAATGTGAAATACTACCAAATTTGCTTTTTGAAGACAGCCTAAGTTTTAATCGCCTGAAGTTTAAGATGATTGTTGTATACGCATCAAGGCCGCCTGTGTGCGCCACACTCGTGCTGACTCCAGCTGCGTTCTGATTGGTCGCGCCTTCAAAGGCCAACGACTCATTCGTCGATGCACATAAGAATGAGGCTACCGCTTGTAAGTGACAATATATTTGGTACTTCTGCTAAGGCACGTGTTCCCTCTACCGTTATAGCCTGTAAGGCTTACTGTCCTAGAAAACCACTGATTATTAAAAAGTTCTTCAGAACTTCTCCTATGTAAGTGCTGCCATCGGTACATACTTGTTTGGACCTATGGAACAGGGTTCGGAATAAGCCATGATTGTACGTCTTTGGAGCAAACGAGTAAAACTGAAGCTACCGTCTATGTTGTCTTCCGATGTACAGCACTTGGTATTGAACCATCCTGACGTTTGCTGTTCAACGTGTCTAAAAATGGTGGGCCCCCGTCCATCTTTTTTTTAAAAGGAACTGAAATTTAGATAAGAAGTGCTCGGAAGTTTGTACAGCTGGATGAAGTTAATCTCATAAGTAAAAATCAGTATTTCGTCGTCAAACTGTTTGTAGAAAGTATCAACCGAATTTAAAATTTGTCATTCAACCATCCCCAGGAATACAGTAGCCAAGGTCAGGTCGAATGGGATGCCCATTTTTGCACCATCAATCCACTTGTAAACACAAACGTCATATGAAGCCGAATGTTCTCGATGCATAAAGAATCATATCTCTAAGATAATCAGTTGGAACAGACAGCGGAAGATTCTAGAAAGAAACAAAGGTGCATACAAAATTGGCGGCCTTATGCAGAGGCAAGTTCTTAGATGACAAATTGACATCAGATGAGTACATTTGGGTGCAACTCAAAGATATGTTCTCTAGGATTTGAATCAATTCAAACGTATCTTTTACACAACGGAAACTGAAGGATTCACAACTTCAGTTGATATTACTCACAAGCCATCCAATCAGCTTATGGCATGCACAGTTTTCTATGGATAAAGTGGGTTTCACCGGAACACCGTTTGGTGTAATTTTGGTAGGCCCCTCATCTCGTCTCCAGTGGTCCCATTTGTTCACATTCAGCCTCATTTAGGCATTCGATCGACGAGAATAAACGAAATGTTAACATCTCGAAACATTTGTCTTTTGACGTGTTGATGAGATCAATCGAGGGATCTCAATTTTTCGAAAGCTGGTGTTATTGATGGTCAGAATCAGTACAGTTAAAGTAAGTGGCAAATCAAAAAGGTTCCTACAAATTGAAGGTGGAAACACTTTAGTCAGACTCAATATTCTTATACGAGACTTGACCTAAATCCGTAGATTTGTCGTTAGTCATTCCACAGAGGTATTTAATCTGCAGACGTTATAGATTAAACGGAAAAAGTGGAAAGGGGTCATGATGCTGACCGCAAGTCGTTATCATCTTGCCTCTGATGCACCCTTTCAAACAATTAGCGTTTGTACGCGAATGTGCACTTTGACCACATGTTCAAGAATGAACGCATTGGAGGCCTATACCGACAGTCCCTCAAGTGTGACTTTGGATACAGAGTCCGTAGTCCAAACCCTACAGCCTACCAAAAAATCAGGCTCCCAACCGAGTAGGGTTAGCGAACGACTTCAACACGTCGCTGTAACCACGGCCAATCTGGCTGATACGAGGTGTACGCGCACTTCAAGCCAAGTCGCTCGATGCCATCGCCCCAGGCCACCACGGCTCACACTGGATAATACTTGGCAGTTGACAGAGGTCTGTAAAGGTTTTAGCTTTTGAAGCGTTACGATGGGCTGGGAGACAGTGTATATCGATGAAAGCAAATGGACAATATTTCGCTAACGGATTGTGGTATCACGACAATTTTTCCACCAAACGATACAAACTGAAAAGCTGCGTCCATGAACGACACTGATTTATCACTCACTAAAAGTTGGCTCGAAAACCAAGAGTTTTTTCATAGAATATGAAGCACGTCTCGCTATGTTTTTAGGCTTATCGCGTCACTTGTGGATCCTTACGTGAAGTTTTATAGCCATGCTACCAAAACGATAAGCGTCGCTTGGCAGACGTCAACATGGTGGCCTTATTATTGAGCTGTATCGTTCCACCTTCAGTAAGTATATCGTATTTGATCATTATAACCATATACAAATGTAATCATGAAAACAACTTGCCACGTTTTCGAGATCGACATGGACAGCCGTTTCGAAAATGAGATCCAGATTGGGAAGCTTTGTTCTATAAAGGCATGCCTCATCCTAAAAAAATGACATATCTAGGATGCGAAAACCACTTGGCTTGGATCGACACAAAACATCCGTGTCATACGGGTTTTGGTTAGGTGATTACGGTTTAGGATGACATGTCGATACGTGTGTGTTCAAAAAATGTCTAGATTAGAGTGGTTTGTTCACTGAAAATGTGCAGTGTCTTTGAAAATACCGTGCGCAAGATGGACCGAACTAAATATCATAGTAGAACTGGGTCACACTGATGAATCGCTACTAAGGGTCAATGTATCGGTGTGGCAAAAAAGAACTACTAACACTGTGAACTTTTCGTACTCTACATCTTAACTATACGCAAAAGGGGGATTTTATTGAGTACCATTAATGGTTACACCTTTTTTGATGTACACGTGTCGATACCATACAGTGCACTGTATGAGAGCATTTGTACCTTCTGTATCTTCTTCACTCTCAGTGGCTTTTCGCACATTACCTCTGGTTAGCGCATATCTGTAGATCATGGCTTAATATACCATGCACTAAAATATCTATTGTATGATATCCTGCTACACACGAAGCAAATTCTTACCTTGGTTAAACAATAATCCACTATACGATTTCTCAGATTCCATACTTCAATTAAAGCTGTTAAAATCTACTAAACATACGAATCACCCAACCACCGATAGAAAGGTGCTGCCCTATCGGCAAGTAGATGTTATCGTCACACAAGAGACATTCAAAATGTTGTTTGTAGTTTAACTTACACATAAGCATTCTTCTTTAGCATGATAACAACACACGTTATTAAGGAGTCTCACGGATTGCAATGCAGTCCAAGATTGTGGTCATTTTTAGTTCCTCCAGTGTTTGGGAAAGTTATATGTAGACCCTGTGCTTGAGATAGATCCCCCCATCATCTAGATTTTCGCGTTCATAATGTAGTCCTGCGTCACCCTTTTGAAATCAGACGTATTCA